GCATTTATTGTTGTGTGTGTGTGTGTTTATTTGTTTGCTGGTTTGTTTGATTGTGTGTTGTTAATTTAATTTGTTTGCTTTTCTTTTCCCCAGGGGGGGACTGATGAATAATGCTGTTTGTATTGATTGAATTGCATTTTGTGTGTGTCTGTTTCTGTGCTTGATGGAAAAAAAATCTCAGTCAAAAAAAAAACATTTTGTCATTCTGACCATATGGCAACAGTAGAAACAGGGGTTAATAAAAACACATTATTTTTTAAATTGAAGTTTTTCTTGGCTTCTGATCAAAGTAAGTCAACAAGCTGAATAAAAATAAGCATTTTTATAGTTTTATAAAAATGTTTTCCAGGCTACCAATGTATGTGCACCTGTCTTCAAGGACGGATTTTATTCAAGATGAGTCTAATTTTTTCAACCAACAGCAACTCAGTTAACAGTCTAATAGAGGTTCTGTCACATTCATATTTGTGCAGGATTTTTTGTGCGCGATTTTCCCTCGTTGTACTAGTACAATGACGATAAAGAATTTGCGTCTTGAATCTATTACTGTCTAATGTCTCCTCCAAGTGTTGAAATGTAGCAATGGCACAATATGCTAGTATGCGCTGAATAATTTGTGAATTAATTCTTATGTTGTACAATGTCCCCCCCAAGTGTTCAAATGCAGTGATAACGCATACCCGAGTCAGTATATAGTCTATAGCTCCCATTAATGTTTTGAAGTGGTGATTACAAATACTGGCCGATAGATGTCAGCAAAGATTAATGGTACACGTCCAGATTTCTCAAACGAATATTTCCCTTAAATTTTTGGATACCCATTAAAAATATCAATCAGCTATAAATTAGGTAGCCTGTAATATCATATGTATGTCAGTTTTAAAATGCTTTAAGTGAAATGCACATGTTGTGAACAAAGTTTTGTTCAGAGATTTTCAATAACATCATTAAGATCATTATTATTAACATTAAAAATATATATAGCGAGTGAAATGTTCTGTGCATTTTTAAAATTCCATTTTACACGCCCCCATGTTCAAGAATTGGACCAAGTGTGATATTTTTACTGATGTGTAGGTTTAAATGAATGTATTTATGCATATGAGACCTTTTTGCAGCACATGTGGAAAAAGTGTGTCAAGCAGCAAGTGCGGTGAAGAGCGGCGTGTTTGCAGGGTGCTTGCAGGGTGCAGACTGTGCATGTAGCGCGCTGCACGCGGCTCCCTGGCCCCTTTTCTCCGCCCTGCACCCACACGCTTCCTGTTTCCATCGCTGCGGCGGGTGCGAGGCTCTCGCCTCTGACGTGAGGAGGCTGCACCTTGAGCTTAATCTATCTGTCTGTGTTCATCTGTTTACGCTGCGCCCACTTCCTTTGGAAAAGCGAGCGCTGAACCTCAAAGCTGCTCCAGCTACCCGCTTCCTGCCGTAGTTCAATCACAACTGATCAACAAGGTCGCATCGAGCAGTTTTAATGTCCTTAAGGAACCTTTTTTCTAAAATCGAAAAAGAGAAAAGGCCCTTTAACATAAAAACAAGGAGAACATGTTCACAGTTTCAGAACGAAAGCTTTTTATAACCGGGGCTTCCCCATAGCGTTCATTTATAATAAGTCTAAAGACAGTAATAGCTTAGGAGCAGTATTAAAATGCGTAATGTCTGTGATTGGAGGGCTAGTTATGAGAATTCACCGCCTTCTTTTAGTGGGATGTCATTTTTATTTTTGTTATTTTCTAAATGTAAATTAGCGTAGGGGGAACATTTAGTGGAAATGTTACAAACCGTGTAGCTTTGCTGTGTAGTGTGTTTTTGTTGAAGTTCTGCATGAATGTGATCAAACTGTTTTAAATTGTTTAAATTCACCATTCCTAAACTATTTTTAAAATAATATATATGGATATCAGTGTATTACTGTAAGTGTGTGAGATTATATAATAGCTCGAATAAATTGAATTATGGAAAATGTTACTACAGTACATTGTTAATGGTTATGCTATATATGATTAGAGAAATAACGAACGTGAATTTTGTGTTTAATGGAATATTAAAATCTGTTAAAGTGGCTGTTATCGGGTCAGTAAACAAGCGCACGTTGTTATTTGAAGTGTGGCACTCCACATCAGTCATAGAACATCAGCTGTTCTGGGGTCAGTATGTAACCACTGTTTGTCATTTGAAATGGGACACTTGGCACCAGTCACGGAATAGCACCTGTTTTGGGTTTCAATAAGCAACCACAGTTTGTCATTTGAAATGAGACGCTCAGCACCAGCCATGGAACAGCACCTGTTCTGGGGTCAGGGACAAACCACAGTATCCTATTTAAAGTGGGACACTTGGCACCAGTCATGGAATAGCACCTGTTCTGGGGTCAGTCATTTTCCATAACATTAATGGATGTTTTTGAGAGTAATATAGATGTGATTATCTTGTATTTAGTAATGTATGACTGACACAGCACATGCATGTGTTTAGCCAAACAGGCCATACTTGGTTATAAAACCACAGGAGTAGCTATAACAGTTAACAGTAGTCAATTTTTATTAACGGCATTCAGTTCTTTATTTTCTGTTATAATCATTTACTATTTATGATTTTCTGTGTAAACGAAAAAAAGTATTTTAGTTCAAAAACAAAAAAGGAAAATCAACATGAAGCACCTTAAATCTATTAAGTATTTTTAACGTCAGACTCTGTAATAAATCAAAAATGTAGTTTTAATAAAATCCTAATCAGTAAAAATGCAACCTGGAATGGAATCAAGCCACAGTCAAGGGGATTTGATATTGGGGAGGGGGGATGGACAGCTTAATCGTTTAAATACAAAGGGTTATTTTTTGTGGAGAGGGGGGTTCAAATAAACTCAAATTAAATATTGGTGGGTATACACCCCCCCCAACCCCAATGGCTTTTACACCCCTGGTCACTGTCACCCAAATCAGCCGAATTCTGGAAAGAACCGGTGGGCGAAGCAATTACAGTAATGAGCCAGAATTAAAATGTAAATATTGAGAACAGTAACTGGAAACCAGCAGACATGTGCCAGCGTGTAACTGATAAAAAGGGGCAGGAAGCAATACGGGGGTTTGTATGGAAAACAGGTGTGTGGATGGGGCTTCACCTTGTGGGAAGAGCAGCCTGGCTTTAGGGAATGTGTGTCTCATGACCACCTGCACACGGCGTGACACACTTCTGCGACACCTGCCACCGCTTCCAGGAAGCCAGCCGCCTTCGTGGGACCTCCCCCCCCCAGACGCAGACCATGTGACCTCGACATATATGGTCAGAGGCTTGGTTACAGGAAGAGCGACGCCGAAATGGGTCACTGGGGAGCATCCGCTGTCTGGCGGCTCCGTGGGTGGGGCTAACGCTAAGGGCGGCCTTGAAATGGCAGCCCCCGGGGGGGGGGGCAGCGGGTCGGATTAAGATCCTCTGCTGTGCCTTAAATCGGGGCTGATTGGGGTTAGAGATGTGACCCCCGGGCCAGTAGCTAAGGAAGATCATGTCGGACATCATTTTTAAATGTTTCCCACAAAACTTTTAATTGCCGTCTGTGCATCTATAGAATGTGACACTGTGTGTGATATTGTAATATTCTGGAAGGTTCGCCCGCAGAACTAACAGATGACGTAGACTCTGAGACGCGAGGCTGCAGGAGGACAAACTGGCAGATGAACCGGCACGATCCAGCCGATGACCTGCAAAGATCACCAGCCACAAGCTGTAGCTCCTTCTCATATTTTTATGTGCCAGACGTTATATCTCTTCACTTTAGCGCCCCTCACAGAATTCTTTGATACACCCCTCATGTCTCTGATTTTAACTCCATGTTATGTTACACTTCTTCTACTCTGCCCTGGCCAATCCCCCACCCCCCCTCATGCCCTGTGCTTTCTGGGATAGACTCAAGCCCAGCACAGAGTAACTGTAATCATAAGTGTGTATATAAATGTAATTTTTTTTTTAAATCATTAATTTTGCATGACGCTATGCAGGGTTGCAGAGGTTATCCCACAAACTACAGGGAACAAACCCAGGATGGGATGACAACACACGGCAGGACACACTCACACATCCACACCTACAGGACGGGGAGAACGAGCTAACTGCTCTCAGGTGGAGACGAGGCGGGGAATCGAAGCCCAGTGTCCAGAGGTGTCAGGTAGCAAATCTTAATACACAGAGTATAATTTTGAAATATGCTGGATAAAGAACCTTGCAGGGTCCAAGATCCAAGTCTCCGCCCGGCTCTACCTGTGTGGAAGTTGCATGTTTTCCCCGTGTCATCTTGGGGTTTCCTCTGGGATCTCCGGCCCCCCCACCCCAGTCTAAGATAGACTGGAGTTACACAAATTATCCATAGGTGTGAGTAAATGGTGTGTGAGTGTGTCCTGTGATGGGTTGGCGCCCCATCCAGGGTTGTGCCCTGCCTTGTGTCAGTGCCCCATCCTGGGTTATGCCCTGCCTTGTGTCAGTGCCCCATCCTGGGTTATGCCCTGCCTTGTGTCAGTGCCCCATCCTGGGTTATGCCCTGCCTTGTGTCAGTGCCCCATCCTGGGTTATGCCCTGCTAACCTGCTTTTCGTTTTAGGCCTCCTGTCACCTTTCTTGTATGTGAATGTCAGCTGAGGCTTGGCTGACACATTTCACCACAGGGAAATCAGCACAGGAAAAGTGCACAAGTGAGCCCAGAATTCAGCGTCCTATTTGTCCCATTTTGAAAGAGCAGATATAATGCCAGTGAGACAGACCCACTGGGATCAGTGAAAGACCAGCTCATACCCATGCAGATCTGGGCTGAGTTTCCCGACGCCGTCTTAACGCTACGTCGTTACGTAGATCTGCACAGTGGGATTTTTCTTATTACAAGGGAAACACATATCAGCTGAGCCTGGCGAACAAATAAAATTTGTGTCATGCTCCTTAATATTGTATCTGATAAATACTAAATATTATTGAATGAAATAAATACAAGTGCTTATTATTTACACAAAAACAGTCTTGTCAAATTTTTGTAAAGTTTTATTAATCAGTCAAAAATGTACAAGGACAATCAAAATGAATCAGACGACCAAAGAACAGCACATGGTTCAAACATTTCTACGCAAACTGGGATATGAGGTGTGCAACGGGGGGAAAAAGCATAATCATCTTCACACATTTATTGCTGTGAGCTCCTGATACCTAATAACATCCACGGCCAACGATTAACTGGAATAGCTGGGATTTCCCGTTTACAAAGCAAAACACACCAACATTTACTAATATAGTGACAGCCATATTTATAGTTCAGTTAATAAACTGCCATTTCCTTATTATTAATACATGCTATAAAATAAGAAATACAATTCAAAGGAAACATTCCTCAAAAAGGTAGAATACAAATTGTAAAGTAGTTAAAAAGAATGAACTCAATAAAGCATCGTATACTTTTGCTGCTATTGCTAACAATACTAATCTACTGTTTATATTGCAATCTTTTGTTCCATTCGGTGCATCTGTGGCCTTGGTGTCGGGTCTCCATGTCTTTGGTACAGAAATTCTGTCCCCTGAGAAGACAAATTGGGACATTAGCTCACCCTGTGCGCTGCCTACAGTACAATAAACACTGTACTCAGCAGTGGAGCACGGCAGCAGTTTGGCTAATGATCGGTGTGGACGGGATTCTCTGTTAAGGGTTCGTTCAGTCTGAGGTTTAGCTCACCTTAACTCGACAACGCCCGGATCGTCATCAGCACGTTGAACAGGATGCTCTTCAGAAACAGAAACCTCAGGCCGAGAACCGTTAGCGACAGGAAATTAATTTTCTCATCTGGAGAAAACAAAAACACCATGAACACTCACAGACACATCATTTCCAGGCACTGAATAGAAAAACATGTGACAAAGTTCAAAACTAAATGTATTTTTTCATTATTATTATTGATACATGGAAACAAAATTGTGGTTTAATATACTAAAGTAAACTGAAAAGTACAGATAAATGATATACAAAATACATATAAATTACAAAAATTATATACGTGTAAATTTAAAACTGAAGACAGATATATTAATTATGCCCAAGTGAAGCACAGTTATGTAGCATTTTTAGATAATAGTACTGTTACAATTGTTACTTGTGTCTCAAATGATAATAGACAATTACTATAAAATGTATTTATTTATTATACATTTATAAATATATTATGTATATATTTATATTAACTTTTTGTATTTTTTATGTTACTTAGACACATACCAGTTTCAAAAGTACCCCCGAAATCCAAATGACATGGTTTCCCATCTTCGTCTAAAAAAAGAAAAAATACAGATAAATACACATGTAATGTAAATATGTAACATGAAATCGAAATTTAGTTACAGGGCAACCACATAATAAATTAGTTGATTAATGATAATTAAAGACTGAAAGCAAAACCGACTGCAAAAGGATTGACTGGTTTTCGCTGTAAAACAGGGTCACGCTTTAATGCAGGTAGAAATCAATGCAAAGTAGAAACCATGTATATACTGCACTGGCTACTTGTGGACAGTAGGGGACACTTCCTGAGCTTCACCCACCAGGACTGAACCAACAGTCATGACAGTAAAAAAATATTACGTTTCACATTTACTATTTTGTGAAGCACAATTAGTGGTTTCTTTGTGTGAGTGTGTTAGTTCAGTAACCATTTGAAAGTAAGGAGGGAACGAGTACTTAAGCACTCAAGTACCTGATAGTACACTTGCATACTTGAAAGTCTACCCAAGTACTTGATGGTGAAAACAGAAATATATCATAATATTTGGTAACATGGTACTTGAGGGGACGCAAATAATGTAGTGGTACACTCTAACTTAATGAATTAATTAACTAGAAACTAAGTGTTAATTACATACTGATCCCATGTTCATCCATCATTAATCAGTCATGATGGTTCATGTATTTCATGAAGTTACTATATTTGCTCATGATTTGTACTTGAGTAGTAACTGAGTTACTAAGTTACTTGTGCCCCCTCAAGTAAAGTGTTACCAAATTTTTGTACATTGTAATTCCTTTTTTATATGTGCCAAATGTGCATGCAGCTGAATACAGTGTGTTACATACAGCATGTGATATATTTTTATAAATACATATAGTACATTTTGGGTACTAGACAACTAAAAAGTATAATTCACATCCTTATTTGAAAATTTGACATTTCAAATCATCAACACTGAAATCTGACTTCAAGTCTGACTCACGGGGCCTCAATTATAGTCCACAATGATGGACTATAATGGCTGCAGTAAGGATCCTCCTTTTGTATTATATTAATAATGATATATTAGTATTAATAATGTCATATAAGCACATTTACCTGTTGAATTGGGGCATGTGTCACCCTCTTCCAGTATCACTACTTCATCGAAGAATGGCTCATCTTTGATCCTGGTGGGCACTGTCTTGTATTTTGAGAACGTTTCCTCTTTATCTAGTGCACTGTATTTGCTGAATCCAGTGGCCATACACACTGTGTTATTACCCTCGCCCAGTTTATAGAAGGAAGGTTCTGCACTCTGGTCTGAAAAACACAAAAAAAACAGCTTTTGAGAAAACAATCTCCATGTGCACATGTGATAGCTAGATAAATGACAGCAAGATCAACGTTAGATCATGCAGCGTTTGCCAGCATAGTCCTCAGGGACCCACAGATGCTCCACAAGATATTAAAGTATTAGATAAATAACTTTGTTGTACTTTTTAGAGTTTCACTTATTAAACACAAAAACTTAAAAGTTTGAATATTTTAGAAACAAATGGATGCTAATTAGAATTTTATATATATATATATATATATATATATATATATATATACACACACACATACACACACATACACACACACACACATTGAAGGTAATTGTGCTTCTTCTACCGATCAGGCTTGTCCCAGAAATCCACTAAGAGCATACTTTACACATTGGTTACCCCCCAATACAATAACCAAAAAGAGCCAGGAGATCAAATTAGAGCATCTCAGAGTTATCATCATAATAATGTGAAAAAACATAATATTTTATAACAGAATTCTAAGCGCTTTTAAAATCATTGCTGCATTATGTTTTACATAGACCACATTCTGTACGCTGAATCACTTTAAGGTTTTATTGACTTCTGCATATTACAGTAAGTGGCCATTCCCCAATCAGTCTGTACTTCAGCAAACATAGTGAACAGCCCTACCTTTCATGCCCAACTTAACAGGTCTAATTTACCTCTAATCTGACCTTATATTCTCCATCAGCTACACCGGACGCAATCAGCATACAGATCTCCTTGTGTAATGGAACGACCGAAACTGTAACTAAAATGCTCTGACCATTAGGAGACCAGAAGGGTATTGGTTCAATCTCCGGTGTTTTGCTAAAGTAAAAACTAAACCAAGTAAAACCAAGAGTTTCATTCATCTTTTCCAACAAATACTCCACACTTTTATACATAATGTTCATTAAACTTACTTGATCCGGCATAAAGATGGGTCCCATTTCCAAACAGTAATGTCCCATAGCTTCCCGTACTCACACTACGATTTTTTCAATACTAGAATCCTCTCCACCCTGACCACTCTTAAGGAACATTTGATGTGGATGGATGGAAGGAAAGTAATAAATAAATGGCCTCAAACACCACCGACTACGACAATCTAACCCCCTACTGATAATATTCACCATTTATTCTATCCCTCTTAATAATATATCGTCATACACACTGTGTTAATTCCAATGTCATTCTCACTAGAATCAACAAATATTTGTTACACCTGTGAATCGGTTTATCACTGTGACTATATAATGATGTACTTACTATTTTCAACAATTAGTTTAGTTCCTGATCCCAATATGAGTTTCCAGTTGCCTGTCGTTGAAGTCACACAGTGTGCAGACCTTGGACATTAACCCTATGTTCATCAAAGTCATCTAAATCTCGCAAATTTGCACCCAATAGAATCATCTTTAAAAAACACTATAGCTGCTACAATGTAAAAGTATTCTCTGGATGAATTTCACATATTCGCATATTTTGGGACAGACAGCATCACCACTGACAAACAGCCTCCACCAGTACTGGACAAACAGAATGACCAGTGACAGACACTCTCCACCAGTACTGGACAAACAGAATGACCAGTGACAGACACTCTCCACCAGTACTGGACAAACAGAATGACCAGTGACAGACACTCTCCAAGATCACCACCGACAGAAACATTCTACTGGAAACTATATTTTATCTTGCAATATCTCCAGATGAAAATGGTCTTGATGAAGAAAAAAAAAATCTAATTTTGCAATTATGTAGTGTTAGGCCTGTTTCTGACTCTATTCACCAAAGACGTTGGTTCCTCCTCCAAAAGTATTTTTTCCCTATTTTTCTCCATAACTCAACCTGTCACACAGAGGTCATCAAAGACATCATAACCGCCATCTCCTCTCGATCATGAGCCTTGTTAGATTCAAGGGTCATTTCATAAACAACACAGTCAACTTTTAAATAAAGCTCACAGCACATACTTTTACTTACTGGACTGAACAATCAGAAGAGTTCCTTGGCCAAATACAAATCTGTTTACTCCAAGTGTCACACACTGTTCAGTGGCTTAACAAATACACACCCTGACCCATGTTAGAGTAGTTTGAAGGTTCGTTTCAATACCAGATTTTCTTGTCGGACACACATTCCACTTTTACCCATTGAATACAGTCCAGGGTAACAGGTTCTGCTGCATGTTATTAATCTAACAGCCTATAGGTAAGTACATTATTTAAGGGCACTGGCCCATGTGGGATCTGATCTAGAACTTTCTGCTCACGCAACTCTCGGTGCTAATTTGAGAACTGAAAATGGTTTGATACACACAAATTAGATATCATACTATCTTGCATTAAGCACTTAATGTGAAGCATTATTTAAACCTGGGTCCAAAATCTTTGGTATGAGGCTCAGGCTACAAAACCATGATGATGTATTTCTTTCAAACATGTGACCATGTTATGTCTTTGAACACCAGTGACATTAGAGAAGATTAAATTCTTACTCAATTCCACAGAGAGCTTGGTTCCGCGCCCAAAGGTCACCTTGAATGATCCATCACTCACAATGCCACAAAGAGCTTAGCAAAAATATACTTCCATTCAAGTTTCAAACTACTTCCACAAAAACTGTTTCTCAAATAACACCACCATTTTGGTGTTCTCCATTGCTACATAACTGAGTTAATAATGTATTATTACACTGATTCGATGAAGCATTATCACACTGATTTGATTTAACTAAAGCTTTTCTTATTATTTCCAGAATGGACTCATCATCAAAAGTGCTTTTTAATGTTCAGCTTTCAGTGTTTTAGAAAGTCAATCAGTAATATATAAACACCAGGATAAAAAACAGCACCTTAAAACTTACAACCAAACAGGCAGCTCATCAACCTGCTCACGGCAATATACCAGGGACCAAAACCACTGAACTCCATCATACACTTAAGATCAGTTACCCATCACAAATATGAAATAAGTGTAACAGAAAAGGTTAACTTTTTATTTACTATTAACACTTACTTGTCCGTACCCAAACTTGGGTTCCTGATCCAAACGTTATCTTGTAGTTGTTATTCACACTGTGAGGTTATGCAGCTCATAAACCGCACATCTCAAAGCAACTGTGTTTACCAAATAGAGTGTTCTTACCACGGGACATTTTCATTATCTAAGATCACATCATACACCACAAGCTATACTCATCTGAATATATTTGTTGAATTTAAAGTGGAATGTAGAAAATAGTTCACATGATACACTTATAACCAATTTTAATTCATAATGAAACACATTAAAAAGCTCTGCTCTTCCTGGAAAGAGATTCATTCTGATAATTCTGAATTCCTGTAGCAGTGAGTCCACGATATAAACACCAGTAAGATTTGTTCCTGATATACTGCAAACTTAGGTACAGACGTACTGCAAACTTAGGTACAGACAACACTAAGGATGATTTCATCGAAATGTAAACCATTTGCTAGGGATATTTGAAAAACGTGGGCTGTTTGTGGTCAGTAGGATCACAGAAAAATGTGCGTTGGTAGCTTAGATTTAGCTTAAAGGTTAAACGGATGGGCGGATTAAAACTCAGCTTGCTCTCATGGAGAGTAAGATGGGGGAGGTGAACATCTGCCCACAGGGATCAATATAGTATCATTATTGTTGACTTATACTATTGTACATAAATTGTACATCTATTCTTCAGTTATTATTACCTTGTGCCTATGGTCATCAGGTGAACTACCTTATTATAACAAAATAAAATATTATAACTGATTATAGCTACCTCACACAGAACTGGGACAGTAGCCTCACAATACATAACCGTCCACCCACAATTATTACTTTTGTCACAAATACATTAATAGGTAAAATACTAATGACATATAAGGTTTATTAATAACTTGAAGAAGCTACTCACTTGACTGAATCCAGACTTTTGTTCCAGACCCAAAAGTTATCTTAAAATTATTCTCATTCACACAGTAGGAGAACGAGGGTCAAAAACCAAAAGTGCTCTGCTCAAGTCTTTACGGAAAGACATGTTTTAAATAAATATGGTATAAACATTAACAGCTAAGACTGTATAAACCCTGCATGATTTCGCATGTAAGTCCGATATCAAAAATATCCACTCCATCTTTCCCCATCTTTAATTATTATGCTGTAGTAAAGGTATAGATACTACCTTGTTATGTCATCTGTGTTATGGATGAATTCATCCTGGGCACTGAACCAACAACCTTCTGGCTGCAGGCTGGCATTCACAGTCCACTAATTAGCCCTGCCCTCGTCATTTTCAGTAAGAAAGAAATATCTCTATAATGATTAAATGAAAAGCAACTTCTTACTTGGTTCCACCAGGAGTCTGGTCCCACTTCCAAAGGTCATTTTCACTCCCGCATTCACACAGTGACACAGAGCTCAACGAATACAGCAGGACCCTACCTGCCCAGACCAGGCTACCTGGTCCCTCAGCACTTAACTGCCGTGCTTCTTAATAACCAAACGCTGATCTACAGAGCCAGCCTGACCATCTCAGCAATCGCACACCGAGACAGAAGCCACGAAATCCCGGGCACTTAGCAGAATGATCACTCTACTTCCAGGTCTTAATACGAGTTTGTTATAGTTCACCCACTGCTTTACTCCACTGCACAAATATTTCTGCAGAAATGTAGCCTATTTGTATGGATTTATCTGGGAAGTGTTGACACCACGTGATGACCACCGCAGCTGGGAGCAAGCAGTACACAGATGTACACGGCCAAATATTGATGATCAGTATTAAAAAGAATGACTGACCTTTTCATGCAAGATTCAAACTTTTTATCACAGTAAATGCACATTCATCCACAGGGCAGCCATTCCTGATGGAGTTATATCAGTGTCACTATCCTCCCCAGGTCAGCCACTACAGTATATGCCCAACACCCAGTCATCCTAGTACTTTAAATATACACCTGGACATAAATAATCAGACTTA